AAAAAAAACAACAGCTGGTCAGGTATGGTAGCATGTGCCTGTAGCTACATGGGAGGCTAAGGCAAGAGGATCACTTCAGCCCAACAGTGAGAGGCTGTAGTGAGCTATGATCACACCATTGCACTCCAGCCTGGGTGACAGAGCAAGACCCTGACTCTTAAAAATAAACAAACAAAAGTTTAAAACTGGCACATCTGTATAGGACACTTACTGTGAATGGAACTTGCAGGACTGCAGTTACTCTGGGTAAGTGAGTGAGTGAGTAGTGAGTGAATGTGAAGGCCTAGGATATTACTGTACACTACTGTAGACTTTATAAACACTTAATACTTGGGCTATACTGAATTTATTTTAAAAATTTTTCTTCAATAATAAATTAGCTTACTGTAACCCTTTTACTTTATAAACTTACCTTGCTTATCTTTTGGACTTTTGTAATAACACTTAGCTTAAAAAAGAAACACATTGTATACTGTACAAAAATATCTTCTTTGTATCCTTATTCCATTTTAAATTTTTAAATTTTTATTTTTTACTTTTGAAGCTTTTTTGTTAAAAACAAAGATATAAAACATACACATTGGCCTGGGCCAACACCAGGTCGGGATCCTCAATATCAGTGTGTTTTACCTCCACATCTTGTCCCACTGGAAGGTCTTCAGACACAGTCACACACATAGAGCTGCCATCTCCCATGGTAACAGTGCCTTCTTCTGGAGTATCTCCTGAAGGACCTGCCTGAGGCTGTTTTACAGTTAACTTTTTTTTCTATAAAGCAGAGAGAGTATACTCCTCTAATGTGAAAAAGTATAGTATTATAGTAAATACATAACCCAGTAGCATAGTTGTTTATTATGATTATCAAGCGTTATATGTTATATATAATTGTATGTGTTCTACCTTTCTATCACTGGCATAGTAGTAGGTTTGTTTACACCAGCATGACCACAAACACATGATTAATGCATTACGTTACCACGTTATGACAGCTACAGTGTCACTAGGTGAAAGGAGTTTTTCAGCTCCATTGTAATCTTAGGGGACCAGAGATGTATATGTCGTCCTTCGTTGACCAAAACATTGTTATGCAGCTGCTGACTGTATGTGGTTTGCTTGCTCCACAGTTGTAGGCTTAATGCAGAATAATCTAGTTACCAACAGGATTTGTAAATAGGTCAGTGGCTAATAGGTGTTACTGTAGGAAAGTAAAAGATACTGTACTTGTAAATAAAGACTTTTGAGAAACCAGGTTGTCAGGAAAACAATCCAAGTCTTGCGTGTTTTGCAATTTTTTAGACCAACTAAATGCCAATCATCATTCAAACACTCAACAAATGTCTACTGAACACCTACCTTGTGCACGTTGCCTAGCAAGGAGCCTAGAATCTTACAGAAGAATTAAGACATGTAGATGTTAGGAAATACAATTCAAAAGAGAGTGGTAAAGTGCCATCGACATAAAGATGTGTCAAGTGTTGTGGGAGTTTAGAAAGAGGAAGTTTTCTTTTGCGTAAAGTGATCTGGAACAGTGGCGTTGATGGATCTTCAATAAGGCTTTGATGGAAGAGGGTAGGAGGTGAGGTTCTGTGTTGGGAAAAGGGCTTGTGGGGTGCCTGCATAAACTGGCTATAAAAATATGGGACAATAAGTTGTGGAAAGCCACAAGAGGCCTCTGAGGAGGAAAGCCTCCTAATTGCCATTATGTTCCCATGCTCAGAGCAAGACCTGCTCTCTTATCTGTAAACACTGTGTTCAAGGAGGAAGACACTTCTTTGAAACATTGGAATGTGGACAAATATGCAGGCTCCTAGTTAAGCCTGCTCCCACCAGCTACTCTCAGATAAGTTAAAGATATGCTGTTTGAGCACAAAGGAGATTCACTTAAACTGCCACTGCTAGATTACGCGTATGACGCACTGCCTCCCTTTCACCGCTTCACCCTGAACATCTGCTTCTTAGATTTAAGTGATTGTACTCAATAAAAAGTGTGGAGACCAGAGCTCTGAGCCTTTTGCAGCCTCCATTTTGCAATTGGCCCCCTGGCCCCCACTCTTTATGCCTTCTTGGCCTGTCTCTTCTCATTCCTTCGTTGCCACTGGACTTTGGGTACCCTACAGGTGGGGTTGAGGCTGGTCCCCAACAGTTCTGGAATCTTGGAGAGGGGAGAAAAGTTATCACAGAGAAAAGGAAGAGGAGAAAATTGGAAACAATTAGAATATGTTTATCCATCACTTATGAAACGTTAGTGAATCAATAACAAGAATACAGTATAAAATTTGGATTCCTGTGCCTCTAAAAACAGTCAGGAGATGAAAAGTTACAGAAAATTATGCTCATTGCTACACTATTCACAATACCAAAGACATGGAATCAGTCCAGGTGCCCATCAATGGTAGATTGGATAAAGAAAATGTGGTATATATACACCATGGAATACTACACAGCCATAAAAAAGAATAAAATCATGTCCTTTGTAGCAACATAGATGAAACTAGAGGCCATAATCTTGAGCAAATTAACACAGGAGCAGAAGACCAAATACTGCATGTTCTTACTTATATGTGGGAGCTAAACATTGAGCACACGTGGAAATAAATGTGGGAACAATAGGCACTGTGGTCTACTAGAGAGTGGAAGGAAAGGGGGCGAGTTGAAAAACTACCCATTGGGTACTATCCTCACTCCCTGTGTGGTGGGATATATACCCAAAACCTCAGCATCAAGCAATATTCCCATGTAACAAACCTGCACATGTACCCTCTATATGTAAAATAAAAGTTGAAATTAAAAAAAAAAAAGAAAGAAGAAACAAAAGTTACCAAATTGATCATAAAGGTTTGAGGAATTTTCATAAGATGCTCAGTTTTCTGTAGGTAGGTCTACCACACAATATTTAAATCTGTTAGTTACTAATGTTCCTATAAACAGGACAAGAGTGACAAAAACACATGTTACCTTTGGAAGATGCCAGAGTACCATTTTTGTTGAAAATCTAAAAAGGCAAAAAATTTCCAACATTTATTTGTGTTTATGCAATCTTATATCATGGTAATCCTAACATCGAAGGATAATAATTTGATCTCTGGAAAGTATTCCCAGCTAATAGAATGAAAAGATTAATGATTGACTCTAATACCAACATTTGCAACCCCTAATGAAATTATGATCTCATGTTGACCCAGCAGGCTCTAATATAACAACAAAAGATAACCAGACAATATGCCCTTCTTGATATGTAAAATGCATTATCCCTTATGATTACCTCCACCAAAAAAACCAAACCTGAATTTGATACAATATCTATATCCAACCACCATGGGACAGAGGAACATGTTAATGATATCGAGACAGGCCTGAGAAAGCACAACTATGACCCTAATATCTTAAACCCAATAATTGAGAGGGTGAAGAAGAAAGGGAGAGGAGGTTATAGCACATGGCTAATTGACATACTAACAAATTTTATATGGAACCTATTGAATTGATTGGAACATTGTTACAAAGTTTTTGAAACATTTGGCAGAACTTACAGTGATTAAAATATTGATTGCAAGGATTGTTATATTTTAGAAAGAGAGATAATGGGTAATTGTGGTTATATTTTTAATAAGCAGAACATACTGTAAAGTATGAATGAAGTGGACATAAGTGTTTTTACTTCAAAATAATCCAGTGATGAGAGGCAGCAGGAGAACCATTGTAGATGAAAGCAAGGTTAACCATCAAGGTGGAACTGGGCTATGGATACCTAGGGGTTGTTTATACTTTTGGGTCTCTAGATATTTCAACTTTTTATTTCTTTTTTTTTTTTTTATTCGCGAAAGATATCAATGCTAACCAAGAACAGATGGAAAGTCTATAAATTCTGAGAGATATGGCCTAACGAGAATATGAATGAATTTCCCCTAAATATAAAAATTAGGGACCATCTTGTAATAATTTGAAAGAAGTGGACAATACAAGAAAATCTACTTACACCATAACTGTTTTTTAAAATCCTGTAAATTTTTGGAAAACTCATATTTAGAGAAACAGACATTGTCTTTGAACGTGTAACGTCGATTACAGTATCCAGAGATATCATGGTATACCTGCCCCTATGTAATTTTTCCAAATGTTTTCTCTACATAAGATGTTTGAGTTGTAAGGTAATATGGTTCTCTCAATAATAATTATAATCCATTCCTAATTTACTTTGCTACCTCCTTGTTTTAAAAAGCAGCTATGAAGATAAATACAAGTAAGTAATGTAACTTAAGTGTGATAAGCTCAGTATCTACACACACACGGTGGTACTGCCCACCCTAAAATTAATACAGAATATTTCCTGTATCCCAGAAATTCCTGTATTGCCTTCCCTGTTATCTATTCCATATCCAGAGTAAACCAGTTAATTCTGCCTTCTATAAACCATAGATTCAGTTTTTTACCCTTTCCTTGAACTTACATTTTATGGCAGGCTTTTGTAATGTCTTAGAGATTCATTCATGTTTCATGTTTTGCATGTATCAGTAGTTCTTTTTTACTGCTGTTTAGTATTCCATTATTTGTCTATATCTCAATTTACTTATTCTTCTGTTGATTAATATTTAGTTGCATTTACCTACTATGTATTAACTAAGCTGCCGTGAGCATTCTTTGGGTAGATATTAATTCATTTCTATCTCTTGAGAATTGGTGGGTTAAGGTAGGCATATTTTTAGTTCTGAACATATTGGCAAATAGTATTTTCCAAAATAATTGTACCAATTTACAGTGCCACCATCAATGTGTGAGAGTCCAGTCACAACACATTCTTTTTAACACTTGGTTTTGAAGTCTTTTTAAAATTTTAGCTATTGCAGTGTGTATTCAGCCTTAGATTTGAACCACTGGTATTGTTCTGTCTTTTACATCAAAGTATCACACTGGTCTTCTTGTATGTAATTGGTGGGTCCTAACTATGACCAGTTCTTCATTGTAATTCTTAGACTAAACTATTGCTTTTTTCCCTTTCCCAGTTGTCACAGGTGGTACTGATGGAATTGGAAAATCATATGCAGAAGAGGTAGGTGATTTTCAAGATCTTTCCTTTTGATATAAAAAATAAGAATAAATATGGAATGATTTCTTACAGTAGTTTTGATTTTTGAAGTAAAAAACACAAATACAATGTTGTGTGGTACAATAGATGCTTTTTGTTTCTACCTTATTGGAAATACCATATTTGCTTAAACAGATGCAATTTTTTGAAACAAATTTCATGTAAAATAAGTATAAAACTTTCTGATTGTACTGGGTAGTTGGAACTGGGAACAATTCAGTGTAATTTTATTTTATATCATGTAAGTGTGTACAATCTTCAGATTTGAAAGTCAATTATTTTGAACTATTTTCCAAAAAATGAAAATATTATTATAGGTGGTTACATTTCTAGGCTAGTCCATGACATCATTTTCATAAAAAGGACTGTGATTAACAGACAGGTATTGATAGACACAGGCAAAGGGTTCAGATTCTCTGCAATGAAATTAAAGAACAGGAGAGCATCATAGTTTGAAGACCGTTGTACAAAGCAGGAGCCGGGGCAGTATTCTTTAGGCAAGTTTCTCTGCCTTCTGGTCCCTGAGAAGGCACCTATAGCCTACGGTGAAATTATCTGGAACAGTGGGGTGATTCTTATAAAGATCCCAGCAGATTCACTGGATCTTCCATTTCTCATTCTCAAAAGGTCTTTTTGTTAATTTTAATTTTTCCAGCTTTTTATTTGGAAGAATATCAAAACTACAGAAAAGTTGCAAGAATGTAACAAACACCTGTGTACTCTTCACCTGGATTCACTAATTGTTAATATTTGGCACATTTAATTTACTTTATTATTATTATTAATTATTTCGCTGGACCATTTGTAAGTTAGTTATAGACATAACAGTTCACCCCTAAATATTCCAGGATGAATCTTCTAAGAACTAAAACATTCACCCTTACAACCCCAATACATTGGTCACAATAGGAAGTTTAACGTGACACAATACTATTGTATGACATACAGCCCTTATGCAGGTTTCCAGTGGCCCCAGTACCTCCTTTTAAGCTCTTTTTTTATTGTTGTTGTTCCAAGATCCAGGTAAGGATTATGCATTGCATTTGGTGTCATGTCTCTTAGTCTCCATTCATCTAAAAGAATAAGTTAGCCTTATTTTTATTTTATAAGAATGCCATTTTTAAAAAATCCAGGTTAGCTGTCTTGCAGACAAATTTGGATTTGTCTCTTTGTTTTCTCATTAGATTCAGGAAAAACATGTTTTCATTGGGAAGGCTACACAGGTTTATCCTTCTGCGTTCATCTTAGTAGGAGGCACAAGAAGTCTCATTTGTCCCATTATTGATTATAAACGTAATTAATAAGGAATATGTGGAATGACACTTTGAGGCTGTATAAATATATTATTTCCCAAGAATCTTTTATCCAATGATGTTAGGATTCATTGACAGTTTTTGCCTACATTGATTATTACCATGGTGGTTAAAAAATGGTGATTTTTGGCCAGGTGTGGTAATCCCAGCACCTTGGGAGGCTGAGGTGGTGGATCACCTGAAGGGTCAGGATTCAAGACCCAGCCTGGCCAACCATGGTGAAATTAACATCTCTACTAAAAATACAAAAAATTAGCTGGGTGTGATGCCATCTACTCAGGAGGCTGAGACAGGAGAACCACTTGAACCCGGGAGGTGGAGGTTGCAGTGAGCCGAGATCATACCGTGGCACTCCAGCCTGGGCGACAGAGCGAAAAAAAAAAAAAAAAAAAAAAAGTGATTTGTTTCTAATGCTATCTCTCCTACATTTATTAACATGGTATTTTTCTGTAAAAGCTTTTCCTTATCCCTCTTCCCCTATTAATTTTTTAAAAGAAAGTATCAGTATGGGCTAATGGTTTTTTTAGTGGTGTTATAGTAGATTAATTTTGCAAATCATCACCAACCTTTTTATTTTTATAAAAAATGTTCTTCCATAACTTCATTTGCAATATCACTCACTACTTAATAAACCCTGACTTTAGGATTTAAGACTGGAATATTAGTTTGCTAAATCACTTTTAGTTCATAGCACCTAATTTATTGCTCATTTATATTCTGTCTAGAATATTTCACTAAATAGTTTTGTGCAGATTAGTGCTTTTTTTCCTCTACTACTGTATTTATGTGTCCTGGGATAGTAACCACATTTGTGTAAATCTTTTTCATTATATACAATATTTACACATGCTGGGTATGTACACAGAAGGTGTTCCTCAGGAAATTCTTCATTAATTTATTCAATTAACTTCTTTAGTTTGCCATGGTCCATAAAGTAAAACGCTCAACTTAAAATTTTAAAAATAATTATATTTTTAGGAATTTTTAACATTTTAATAGTAGTTTCCTTTGCCAGTCCTCTGATGTTTGTTTTATATATCCATTCTACAGCAAAACCTTTTTTTTTTTTTTTTTGAGATGGAGTCTCGCTCTGTTGCCTAGGCTGGAGTGTAGGGTGGGTGCAATCATGGCTCACTGCAGTCTAGACTTCCTGTGCTCAGGTGATCCTCCCACCTCAGCCTCCTGAGTAGCTGGAACTACAGGCATGTGCCACCACACCCAGATAATTAAAAAAAAATTTTTTTTAAAAATTTTTTGTAGAGATGGGATTTTACTATGTTGCCCAGGATGGTTTTGGACTCCTAGGCTTAAGAAATTCTCCTGCTTCGGCCTCCTGAAATGCTGGGATTGCAGGTGTGAACCACTGTGCTTGGCACAAAAACTTTTTTAAAGCTAATTTTTAAATTATGGAAGTAGTAGACACTTAATGGTTTAAAAAACCCAAACAGTATAGATGGTATAAAATGAAAAAGCAAAAGTCTCCCTCCTTCTAAAACCCTTTGACATTGAAATACTAGCTTGATTTAGAAAGGTAACTTTTTAGGGAATTTTTTTGGTAAAATCTCTATTTCAGATTGTGTCTTCATTACACTTGGGTTTATATGTTTTTTATTTTGAACTATAATCTGGACAGGTTTTCTTAAAATGGAGGTTATAGCTCATTAATGTTTTTCAGTGACATGCACAGGTGTGATTCAAATCTCCTTTACTGTTTCAGTTAGCAAAGCGTGGAATGAAGGTTGTCCTTATCAGCAGATCACAGGATAAACTTGACCAGGTTTCCAGTGAAATAAGTAAGTTCTCACATCAAACTAAAGGAATACATAGCTAATTAATGTTTTCAAGCAGTTATCTGGTACTGACATAGTTATTTCTAGTTCAGGAAACTTATTTTTCAAGGAGAGATATCATGAAAGAGCATGAAAAAGCATAGAATGCTTTAAAAATGGATCATCAATTTTAGGCTGGATGTGGTGGCTCATGCCTGTAATCCCAGCACTTTGGGAGGCTGAGGCGGGTGGATTACCTGAGGTCAGGAGTTTGAGACTGACCTGACCAACATGATGAAACCCCATCTCTACTAAAAATTTTTAAAAAATTAGCCAGGTGTGGTGGCAGGCACCTGTAATCCCAGCTACTCAGGAGGCTGAGGCAAGAGAATCTCTTGAACCTGTGTGGGGGAGGTTGCAGTGAGCTAAGATAGTGCCACTGCACTCCAGCCTGGGTGACAGAGGGAGACTCTGTCTCAGCAAACAAACAAACAGAAAAAGTTTTTTAAAAATTGTTTTAGGGTGATTGTAATTTGCTTAAAATATCTTTTACTAATTTTTTTTGTCTTGTCAGTAGTCAAATTATCTAATTTTTTATCATATTCTGCTGAAATGTCTAAATTTATTTGCTATGACTTCATTTCAGTATTCCCGAATGTTTTTTACTCTTTTCTTCTCAGTATTTCTAAATGTCTAACACATATGTTTTAGGGAAAATAGAAAAGATAGCAATACCCATATGTCAGGGAAAATCTTTTGAACTTTCTTCTTAGGCAATTATGCTTGAGACCTGAATTACAATATGGCAAAGACTCTTAACTGACTTCTAGTTAATCAACCAGATGGATAAACCAATGCTGTTCATTTGTTTGGTAAAACATACTAACTGATGTCCCCAGTTTGCTGACCATTTGTGGCCGGAAAGCTTCTTTGTATAATGCTTATATACTTTTATCCTCACAAATCAAATTGTTTACTTATTAAGAGTCAACTGTGTTTGTTTCCAAACTTATATTGGGTATATTTTTTATTAAATATTCTGTGCAATGATGAACTATTAGTGTAAAAGCTAGAGTTAGTTCTATAAAAACTAAGTTGAATGCTCTGGAAAAAAGTGAATAAAATTACTTCTTTAAAAAATTGGCCATCAAATTAGTGTTGAACAAAGACAAAGGTAAAATATTGGAAGAACTTACAAAATGTAAGAAATCTGCTCTCCTGATTGTTTCATACACATTGAAATTTGTGCTGTACTTTACTAGAACTAAAACTGCAATCATAAATTATAGAATATGGGTGTGATGCATGCAAGAAAGACTGGAATTCCAATCTCAAAGACAAGGTCTTGGCCCTACACAGAGGATTGGTGAATGAATTATATTTATACATGGTTTAAGTGAAAAATAAAATGATTACCATGTGTATCTATCTCTATGAGTTCTTGTTTTAACTAACTTCTCAGCTAACAGATTGTCCAGATTCTTTCAATGAGAATTGATGAAACAGGATTTCTTCTATATTTTGTTACTAACGCTACCACCTACTGCTAACATTTATATAGTGCTTTATTATTTATTCATTCTCTCACATGTATTATCTCCTTTGATTCTTCCAACTTACTTATGAGGTATATATTTTTGTTACTATTTCTCTTTAGATCATAGCTGGCCCTATTGGACAGATTACATATAGCTTCACTTTGTATTAGTCTGTTTTTCACGCTGCTGATAAAGACATACCTGAGACTGGGTAATTTGTAAAGAAAAAGAGGTTTAATAGATACACATGGCTGAGGAGGCCTCACAATCATGGCAGAAGGCAAAAGGCACGTCTTACATGGTAGCAGGCAAGGGACAGAATGAGAACCAAGCGAAAGGGGTTTCCCCTAGAAAACCATCAGATCTCTTGAGACTTATTCACTACTGTGAGAACAGTATGGGGGCACCTGTCCCCATGGTTCAATTATCTCTTGCCAGATCCTTCCCATAACATGTGGGAATTATGGGAGAGACAATTAAAGATGAGATTTGGATGGGGGCACAGCCAAACCATTCACAGTGTCTTACTGGAGATTCCCAATATTAAGTATGTTACATCCTTTTTTTTTTTTTTAAATTATTTTAACCTTGCTGAGAGTACAGATCTTTACAAAGCTGAGCATGTAGTATACAGATATACAATATATCTTTGTCATTTGAAGAGTCTAACATTCAAGATTTCAGCTATGTAAATGCAACCCCAAAGGGCCAAGAGATACAGTATTTTACAGTTTTGCTGAGATCTGAATCTGAATAAAGCCATGATACTAATGAGCCTGAGGTAGTTACTGAGATAGTAGGTGAATTTAACATACTGCCTGGATCTTAGCACTGTTTCATTCTTAGCTTCTTGGAATCTTGTATATAATAACTCTTAAAGTGATTTAAAAAATGTTGTGTCTGTGGGTGTGTCTAGAAATTGGCCCTTAATGAATGCACCTACTAGTTGCTGAAGTAAAGGTTCATAGGGAGAAAGTAGATGCTTTTGACTAAATGGAATGTTGCATTTTGAAATGCTGTGATATGAATGAATCTACCATCTACTCGATACAGAAACAAGAAAAGCTACCTCATGACACTTTGAGCAAGTACTGCAGCCTGTACAAAAATTGCTCAATGACTCAGAAGATGTGCTTTAATGATATTTGAGAATTTGGTTAACTCATAAGATGAGGTGGCACGTGACTGTTGGCAGAAATATGATTCTGGAGAAAGACAGGATTCTGTTCAAACATTTTCATGAAGGAACAGATGGTAAAGATACTGAATTGACCTTTATTAAAAGGCATGAGTTTTTATCCTTGTTAAAAATTTTGAAAAATGTTTTTCTGGGCATAATATGAATTTAATAGGAGAGGTGATATCAGCAGACTATGTCTTCTGTTCTAAGCTGAAAAAATACACAGAGGAGATTTATAAGTTAAGACAGATTTTTAACTGAGATGTAAATCACCTCTTTGGGAGGATAATGTTTGCATGAACATATTTATTCCAGGAGAAAGAAGGACCAGTATTTAATTTTGTCAAAGAAAGACTAACTCAGCATTTCTTTGGTTATGCCTTTAATACATCTTTATTGAATGCCTGTGTACCAGGTACTGTGCTAGGCAGTGAAGATACAAGGGTGAACAAGGTGGCATGCAGTCCCTGTTCTCAAAGAATTTAAGTGAGGGAGACAGTAAAAACAAATAGGTAAAAAAACAAACAAACCAAACCAAAAAAACACACACAAAAAAGACAAATAAATAATTGCAGTCTATATTGAATGACACAAAGGAAACAAAGGGCTAGAGAAATAACAATAGAGAAGTTCTTATTTTGTTGCAGCATGGTGAGTCTTGCGATTGGCAGGGTGATAAAATGGCCAGAATAATGGCCTCTTGCCCATATAACAGCACTCCAGTAATGAAACTGGAGCTTTACTGAAAGACCTATCCTCTGGGCCCATTTGGAGGTATAATGGTGGAGGAATTGTGTATGTGCAAGTTGCATAGGTACATGCACTAATGTTTCTATTTTCTTAAGCCTTGTTGTGCGAGGGAATTTATGGTCTCCCAGTCTCATTAAACCGTAGCCTATCATGGAGTCCAAGTTCCAAGTTCTAGCAGCCACCCAAGTCAACCAACTATGTGAGCTAAACATTAAATCCTAAATCTCTAGTAAGTGAGTCATAAAAATATTTGGCCCAATCTGGTATTACATTGTTTTCTATTGTGGGTGTCCGTGAGGGATATTTGAGCTAGGTCTTGAGGAGAAGAGGAACTCTTTTGCTGGGAAACTGCCCGTACTGTTATGGCGGGGTTATTATAGGATCTTCAAGCCAGAGAACACCAATCTTGGCAGACACAGGCAGGAGAATAGACTAGTACTATTTCCACTGGAAAGGGAGGTTCAGAGTAGCTTGAGAGTCCAGGATTCTCAGTTTCAATTGAGTCTGCCCAAATATCCCCATCCCAAATCTCAAGGTCATACTTTTTCTCATTCAGTGCTTTCAAATGAGACTAGGTGTCTGTGGAATTCAACTTAAATTGTAATTCTGTAACTGGCACATTTAAATCTGATGTTAGCAACGTAAACTCCATGGCTATAAAACATAAAACTTTTTACTGGGGCTACCATGCAAGTTCTCTGGTTCTCTCATGGTAAATGTGAGCTGACAGTTTAGTGATCTGAACTTGTCGTTTTTATTCTGTAAGTGTTCCAGTATATTCAGAAGAAGCCACATCTTAGCACAGTCTTTGTATGCATTATTTCTGCCAAACTCAAATGTAGTCACCATTTGGTCACTCAAGGCATTTCTCCAATGGGTACTTCATTACAATTAACAGCCAGGGTTAATTTGATGGACTGTCGTATCACTTATTGCATAATGGATTGCTAGTGTCCCATTTCCCTATTGGGAAGGGGCTTAACACTGTGTCTAAGCCCAAGACACAATCAAACCAGTGCAAAAGTCCTTTGAGGTTTATGTCTTATGATCCTACTCCTGAAACTAATTCCTGTGTCAGGCAGAGCCCAGTCAGGAAACAGAAGTCACACAATTTAGTTTAACTGGGATAACTTGTCTCTTCTAGTCCAACACTTAAACTCACTCCAGTGGGTTAAACTCATCGTTCTTACTTCCCTGTGTGACTGAAACACAAAAAGAGGAAATGAGGGATTGACAAGGAAATTACTTGACAAGTGAAAAAATTCGGGGACATTTTTTGGCTGCTCTCACCTTCGAAATCTGTCATCATATAAACTTGGGCACTTTATATGAAGAAGTAATTCTTTATGAATGTGGAGGGTAGCCTACTCATCAGTGTCAAAGTTTTTAAGAAAAAATTTGAATGGATTATATGTAGTTTAGTAGGACACTAAATGTTTCACCAACAATGGATACGTGCTTTGTCAGGATTGACTGCTTTGATGAAATTATAATTCTTTGTAAGGATACCTGTCACCCTTTTAATTAAGACAAGCTGAAAGCCATCGCACATGTAA